ATGTGTGCCCACTTAGGTGAACAAATCTGCTGTGTCTAATTTCAGTTTGCACACAATGAAGTATTTGTAAAACACTATATGGCAGACTTACATACTGTGTTTGCACATGCATGTTGCTTTCCAACTAACACTGCAGAACAACACTGTGCCAAATTATACTGCAAGCTAGGCTGCGGTTTTAGTGCCCGCAGCATCATTTTCTAAGCACAATCTCTTCATTCAAAAAAAAAATGTGTTGCATCACCCTTGAAATATCCACTATTTTAGAGTGGAACTGGGTTTGATGTGCTATTGCCATCATGCTTTCAAGAACTGCATTGCATCCCAATAAAGTTGTCAAAAACTTAAGTACTACAAGAGTCACCTCCCCCTGAGGGGGGAGCAGCCCTACCAGGCCACAGAAGAAGACAATGCAGCCACTCCTGATGAGACCTAATTGACTAGGATCAGAAGGAAGGAGAGGAGGACCTCCCCTATCAGTGGACTTGGAGAGGGGCATGCGTGCAGAAACGGGGAGGGGAGGGTGGGATCGGGAGAGGAGGAGGGAGGGGCTTATGGGGGGATACAAAATGAATAAAGTGTAATTAATAAAAAATAAAAAAGTAAAAAAAGAGTCATAACAGCAGCACTACTTGTGATTATCTTCAGACAGAATCAACTAAAACGCTTATTTATAAGAGAAAACAACTGAATTGTGGCATCTTCTTGCACTGAAATACTACAGTAGCAGTTCTCTACCTGAGGGTCACAAGCCCCTCAGGGGTCAAATGTTTCTTTCACAGGGGTCATGTAAGATCATCAGAAAACACAGGTGTTTATATTACAATTCATTAAAGTCGAAAAATTAAAGTTATGAAATAACAATGAAAATAATTCTATTGTTGGAGGTCATCACAACTGGAGGAACTGTATTAAAGGGTCACAGCATTAGAAAGGTTGGGAGCCACTGTACTATAAGAGAATGGCAAAGATTAAGCAATGGCTATAGTGATATAAACAAACTAACAATAAACAAAAGGAGCCAGACATGTAAAGGTACTAACTCTAAAATTAAATTTATTTTTAAAAAAAAGGACAAAACCAGTCAAAACTCACCCACTTTTTCTACATATGCTGTATATCTATTAAAAAGGAAAACAAATAGCACACTCAAAGCTGGGTTTTGTGTCTTTTTTGTGTTTTTTTTTTTTTTTCAGCACAGAACAAGGAATGGAGTTGAGGTGCAATCTTTCATCGCCCAAACTCAGAAACCATTTTGTAAAAACTGCAGGAGACCCTACTACATGATGATTGTTGAAGGGATTATCAGATTCTCAAATGCACCAGGCACATTTTACTCTATACACTGAGGTTTCGGGTATGGTTAGTGGAGTGAGTTAGAGAGGAATGGTATGGAGAGAAATGACAGTAAGCGCTCAATCAGTTCAAGCCACTGGCATTTATTTGGAGACATCTATACGCAGGCATTCCTTTTAACAAGACTCAGATACGTTAAGTTATCCAGGGATATATAGCCAATGGATAAAACAGTAGACTTTCAAATTCTGCTGCATAAACCCAATATATCACTAGCATTCCACAGGTCAGCGGGCTATTATGTTAGGATACATGTTAGTCTATTTGGGCAGATGTTTTCTCCAGAAAGCAGTCAGGCCATTAACCTAAAAAAAAAAAAACCTGGACTTCTGAGCCTTTAAAGGATGAGACGAAAGAAAACAGCAAGGGTCCTGTTTCCACCCTCCAAATGTCACACTTATTTTAGGCCAAGACTAGCCTCTCTAAATTTGTTAAGCCAAGGTTTATGGCATAGATAACAAAACTGGAAGCTGACTGCTAGGAATCAAAAATAATACAAATTCCCTGGTAACAAATACCATACAGCCAGTAAAGCAATGGACCAGCTCACAAATCTCTCTACTTAGAATGCACTCAAGGTGAGCAGCTATGGTTCAATTAAATTCTGCAGCTGCAATGTTTCTTTTCACATGGCAAAGCGTTGAGGGCATTCCAGATTCAATGCTGACTGAGTAGTAGTAACAACAGAATAGAAAGGAGGTGGCTCAGGATAGGACCACCAAAGGCCTGGTATATCAGAAAACAGTTGAGATCCAAGCAGGGGCTCATACAGTCTGGTTCCTTGAGTGAAAAGAAAACATGGTGGCACATCAGATCACTCTCTCCAGTCAGGATGGAGTGAGCCAGGCAGCTTCAGAATTACAAGCCCATCTTTAATCTCCTGCTATATTTATTTAAAAAAATAATACTTAGGTAGTTCTGAATAGCCAATAAGAACAGTACTGGTAGCATTCTATTTTCACTCTATTGTCAAGGTTTCCGGTCTACTGTATGTACCCAGCACTAAATACTTTTGTAGCCTTATAGTGTGCTAGGCAGGTGCTCTGCCACTAAAGCACATTCCCAGCCTCTGCTGGAGTTCTTTTAGATATTTTCCATGAGCCTGTGGCTTTCCTGCAGCAACTCCAATCAACCCTTTACTAATGACACAAAAAGCTAAGGTACACACACATAAAAAAGCATAAGAACACAGTGTTGAGCTGCTATGAGAACAGAAGACAAGAAATGCCCAATGTCACACCTCTATGGTTCCCCACAATACACCTGGGACAGTTCAATAGTTGCCCTCCCCCACCAATCTGGTTCTAGAACAGCATTGTCAAGGAGACCTTCTGCCACGAGGAAAACATTTTATATCTTTGCCATCCCCCACACAGCAGCTGGCTGTCCATACTTAGTACTTGAAATGGGGCTATTCTGATTCTACAAATCATATTTTAGTACATTTCAAAATCATTTAAATTTAAACGGCTACATATGGCCAGAGGATATTCAACTGGACAGTCTAGTTTTAGAAATTTTTATACAACATCCAACAACAAATCTCTACTTTAAAAAAAAATTTTTTTTTTTTGGTGGAAAATGCCAAAACGCTTGTGAGAGTGAAGATCAGGAAGCCAGGGGAGGGGAGGGAGGTGTTGATAATCTATTAAATCAAGAACTCCATTTACTGCACTGGCATCGATAGAAATTATTCACGCCAAGGGCAAGACTGATCAGAGGAGATTCATGGTATAGGCAGCAGTCAACAATGAACAGTGAACCCAGAATGCGCAAAAGTGATGCTCTGGGTGCTCAGATTTGCTGTCTGCACTGTCATACCCCATCATCTCAAAGAAGAATGGACCACAGGCAAAAGATGTGCCATACAGGCATGTAAACATATGCCTCTTGACCCAGAAAAGCAAAGGCACTACACACAAACTTGCTGTCAGCAGGCAAGAGGGGAAGAGCTGTACCTGATGGTGTAATGAACATTTTACTTTTCTAAGAATCTGTTCAAAGTCCATTTCGGAGCAGAATGAATAGGAGTCAAGAAAACCGAGTGGTTCTAGGTGAAATGGGCTCCTAAACAACTTCTCTGAAAAAGATGTGGTGCTCAAGAGAATACTCAGCCTGGTCAGAAATGTCAAGAGAGTGCGCTCAATGGGTCCAGCTGCCACTTGTTTGAACAAGGTTGATGCTCCACCTCTTTCCAGATGGGGGTGTATTTGTCCATTTGCTGTGCAAAAAAAACCCCTACATCTGGGGCTGCCTTCAGTAAAGAAGGAATTGAATGGATTGGCACTGAGTAGGTAGTGGGGGGGGGGTGCTGCTCAGTGGTAGAACTTATACACACACGACTAAGACGCCTATCCTGCTATAAGACAACACACCATGAACACTGAAAACAACTCCTGAAGTCTCTGCTCATATGCTTTTAGGTTTCAGGTAAACACTCTTACTTTCATTTGACCAGAAACTAAGACCCAAACATCCCCTGGTAATTGCTATGTCACAAACAATGCAGATGAATGCCATCAAGGTTACCCAAATTTGTTCCCAAAGGTTAAGTAAGGAAAACAGGCAGGCTTCCTACACGGGAAGGAAATGTTGTCACCTCAAAAGCTGATGACATGAAAGCTGAATGGTTATGTCATGATCTCAACAGTGAGCCTGGAAACAGTGTCCAGGTCTAGCACTGGATTACATTATGAGATTAACAAGTCACACAGTGATAGCTTACACCTCACTATGTACATGAAAGTGTGTAAGAAAACACTAAGAGGAATCAACACATGCTCAGCAGGCACCAACTGCCACTTTCTGGTCGTAGAATGGAATCACCTAGAAGAATCAATCACACCCAGGGCCTCAGGTTGGATGTCATTAGTCTAAGGATGGGCACGATTGTTTTCCTAGTTTGTTTCAGGCAGAGGCTCACTGTGTAGCCTAGGCTGGTCCCAAACTCTGTACGTAGCATAGGATGGTCTTGACCTTGCAATCCTCCTGTTTCTGTCTACTGGGAGAAGCCGAGCGGGCCACATTAAGTTGACAAGAAGTTTTAACAGAACTCTCAGATGATTACAATAAATAGGCTGCATTGGGGATGTGCCAGGAGAAAACATGGGGAAAGGACTCAACATCTAAATTCAGTGGTTCCCAACCTTCCTAATGCAGCGACCCTTTTCATGTAGTTCCTCGTGTTGCCGTGATCCCCCAACCAGAAGATCATTTCCTTGTCACTTTGTAACTGCAATTTTGGTGTTAGAAATCATATCTGATACTCGACTCCTGTGGGGGTAGCGACTGAGGTTGAGAGCCACCATCTTTGGTGATAGTGTGTTTCTTAGGTTATTGGCTATTATAAAAAACAAAAAACAAAAACCAAAAAACAAAAACAAACAAAAAAAAAAAAACAAGAACAAAAAGAACAAGATAAAATGGGTCTAACGTGCCAATGGTACCCATCTATCTGTCCATGGGCTCCTTACTTGTTCTACCCTATCCAGGAGGGAGAGATTTGTCCTAAACATAAACAGTGGGGTGATGGAAAGGGGGACTGCAGGAGAGTGCGGGGGAAGCAGGTTAAGGGGGTGGCAGGGCTTGTAAGAGGGCCAGGACAGCTGGAGGGAGGTGGGAAGCAAGGTGGGGGGCGACCTCACCTGCTTCGTAGAAGGCATCAAGCACGGCTGTCTTCCCGAAGTCAAGCTCCCCAAAAGGGATGGAGGTGAGGTGGTCGCCCTCGGCCTCGCAGGCCCGAAGCAGGCACTTGAGCGCACCAGCCTCTGGGCCGCTGGCCGCCGCCCCCTGGGAACTTTCGCTGTGCACATATACAGCCCTCAGAACCCGGCGGCGCGGCCCGCACCTGCCCTCGGCGTCGCCGCCTGCAGCCTCCACTGAGCTCTCCAGCTTGGCCAGCCCCGCCTTGCCCTCGGGTCCCGTAGGCAAGCCACGGGGCGACTCGCCCACCTCCTCCAGGGCCTCAGCTGGGGCCAGCCCTCCTCCTTCTCCTCCTCTTCCTCCGCCGCTGCCGCCGCCGCCGCCTTCCTCCATGTGACTGGTCCGCAGGGCTGGCGGCTTCGAAGCTGAGGCGCACTACCCGCCGCACCTGCTGCTGAGCCAACGGACGGACGGCACTGGAGGGACCAGGCAGCTGGAGGGACCAGGAAGCGTGCGGCAAGCCCGTGCCGGGCAGGTGACCACGGCTTTTCCAGCTGCCCACTGAGCAAGGCGGCCTTGCCCCGAGCACTCTTTGAAAGCCCGCGAGAAAGAGGCGGGGGCTCGGACGTCAGGGCGGATAGAGGGGGCGGTAGTTAGAGCCTAGGGGCAGGAACGGGAAGGGCGCCCCCTTCCGGCTCCCCCCACGCGCACCCCCAGCAGGACGCTGGTGGAGTTAGGGATCGTAGGGGTGAGGTGTTTTGGTTCCCATCTCACCCTTCTAACTGGATTCCTAACTTCCTTCCTTCTTTCCTTCCTTCTTCCTTTCTTCCCCCCTCTCTCTTTTTCTCTCTCCCTTCCTTTTCTTTTCTTTTTTCTCCTTAAAACAAGTTGAAGCTTTCAACCGCAGTAGCCTTTCAAGGCACTAATTGGTTATCAATATTGAATTCCAAACTAAATGCGGATGTGGCTTGAACTCCATATTGGGGTGAGCAGCGCTTCATTGGATGCCTGTCCCTGCCAAGTACATTGCCTCCTCCAGCCCCGTCCTGCAGTTTTATTTGTCTTGACTTTGGTAGTGACTTTGACCAGGTATGGGGAAGGTACCAGCAACAAACGTTTGTTTGCCCGGGGAAAATAGACTCCTGTGAATGTTCATTGCCTTCCTGACCTCTGAAATACCAAGGCTCCAAAGAGGTCTCCACTCCATCTTTTGCACCTTACCATTTTAGTATCCAATAGTAAATTATGTTTAAACAATAGTATACACTACAAGTTGTCATGGGGGGGGGGGTGAAGTTTTTTTCTTAACAGCAGCTACCAAGTGTAATTCACACATCACCTAGAACAAAAGGACTAGATGGATTTTTAGTATAGTGCCAGCTCTGTATCCATCACCACAATTTTTAGAATACCTGGTACCCCATCCCCTCAACCACAGTACCAATTAGAAATCGCTTTTCATTGCATACGCTGAAATAAGGAGTCCCTGGCAAAATACCAGCCCTGGCTCTAGATTTGCCTGTTCTGTACATTTAACATTACTGGATAGAATCATCTAAAGTGTGGAATGAGGTTTCCATATGCCCTGAGTCTAATGCTAGGAGGAGGATTTCTGGGTTCCATCAAGGGAATGTTTAATCTTCAGAGAAATGCCCTGCTTTCTTAAGCGGTTGCATCATTTCACGTTCCTATGGCAGTGCATGGGTGTTCCGCTTCCTCCACAACCTCAGCAACACTCGCTATTGTCTATCTTCCTTCATTACAGCTCCTAGTGGGTATGAAATACTATCTCATTCCAATTTGGGTTTGCAATTCCCTGTCACTTAAAGGCGGTCAGCATCTTGTTCTACACCTCTGTTTCATTTGTGTAACTTCTTTGGAGTATTAGGTTATCTAGGTATCTAGGTCATTTGCTCACTTTTAAAAATTATTTTGGTTCGTGTGTCCGTGCAGGTCATGTGTCCATGCATGTGGAGGTCAGAGGACCTCAGGCCATTTCTTAGGTACCACCCACACCATCCGATTTGGTTTTGAGGCAGGGCCTCTCTCTCTCTCTCTCTCTCTCTCTCTCTCTCGCCTGGAACTCACCAAATAGGCTGTACTAACTGCCTGGCTCCACTTCACTAGTGCTCTGTCCCATTTTCCCCAAAGACAGTAAAAAATGCCCATAGAAATCCTTCCCTAGTTACAGCCTTAGTAGAAATCAGGAGTGGCAGCATTGTGCACCATGAGGAAATCTGTGAGAACACTCAGACAGAACTCAAAAATCTTTCAACATCTGTGTTCTAAGACTTAAAAAAAAAAAAAGTTTGGTGCTATACAAGGACATCTGTGTCCTTTGCAACTTTGCAATGCACAATAGTAATAATTTTCCTAATGTGCTTGTTCATCTGAAATTACTCCAGTGACTGGCACAGCCTTTCAAAGGGCAAAGTCACTCATTTGAAACTCCTTTGCCAGTGTCTTACTGTTGTCTTCACAGCAATCTTCTTGAATTCCTCTCAGATATCTCTGGGGCCTGGCTGATGGAGCGAAAAACCCAGGAGTTGGGAATTATGGCTTTAATGACATCTTTCTCTAAATACAAATCCTGCTGAGTAAAGCACCTACCATTTACCCAGCTAACAAGCACCTTCCCTGAAGTTGGCACACACAGCACACTATCGCATTGTCTCCAACAATTTGCACAAGTGAAGCAGGCCTCAATGTCCAATGCCCTTCCAACTCTCTCAAGACCCTCCGAGGAGAAAATTGCAAAATTCTGCATTGGTCTTGCCTATGTAGTTGAACCGGTGTTCTTTTCTCATTTGTGCCTTGTCCCTCATGTCCTGGAAACCTCTTTGTCCTATTACAGAAGCGTCATCAAATATTTTTCCGGACATGGAAAAGAATTCTCCTCATTGTACTTCCTCTCTGTGAATCTTAATGTAATCCTCTCCTACTGGGCAGCTTTTTGAGTACAGCCCCCAGCAGGGGCTCCTTTTTCAAGTGACACCAGTCTCCTCCATTTCACTAGGACATAATTTCTGAATCATTTTCCACCTTAACAAGCATCTTCTAGAAGATTCCCTTCTTGTCATCATTGTGTGTATGAAAGACTTTTTAAAAATTAAGCTTGGTTAGGTTCACACCAAGGTACTTTATGTCCTTTGTGGCTATTTTGAAGGGTGTTGTTTACCTAATTTCTTTCTCAGTCCTTTTGTCTTTTATATACAGGAGGGCTACTGATTTTTTTGAGTAATTTTGTGTCAAGCCACTTTGCTGAAGGTGTTTATCAGCTGTAGGAGTTCCCTGGTAGAGTTTTTGGGGTCACTCACGTATACTATCATATCATCTGCAAATAGTGATACTTTGACTTTTTCCTTTCCAATGTGTATCCCCTTGATCTCCTTTAATTGTCTTATTGCTTTAGCAAGGACTTCCAGCACTATGTTGAAGAGCTATGGAGAGAGTGGGCAATGCTTCCTCAGACAACTAGGAATTAGCGCTTCCTCAAGATCCAACTATACCACTTCTAGGCATATATCCAAAAGAGGCTCAAGTACACAATAAAGATATTTGCACAATCATGTTTGTAGCAGCTTTATTTGTAATAGTCAGAAGCTGGAAACAACCCAGATTCCCCTCAACTGAGGAATGGATACAGAAATTGTGGTACATCTACACAATGGAATATTACTCAGCAATAAAAAACAAAGATATCATAAAATTTGCAGGTAAATGGTGGGAACTGGAAAAGATCATCGTAAGTGAGGTATCCCAGAAGCAGAAAGATACACACGGTATATACTCAATCATATAGACATATAATATAGGATAAACCTACTAAAATCTGTACATCTAAAGAAATTCATCAAGAGGGAGGACTCTGGCTAAAATGCTCAATTCCTATCCAGAAAGGCAAAGAGGATGGACATCAGAAGAAGGAGAAAACAGGGAACAGGACAGGAGCCTACCACAGAGGGCCTCTGAAAAGCTCTATCCTGAAGACTATCAAAGCTGATGCTGAGACTTATGGCCAACCTTTGGACAGAGTGCAGGGAATCTTTTGAAAGAAGTGGGAAATAGTAAGATCTGGAGAAGACAGGAACTCCACAAGGAGAGCAACAGAACCAAAAAAAAATCTGAACACAGGGGTCTTTCCTGAGACTGATACTCCAACCAAGTACCATGCATGAAGATAACCTAGAACCCCTGTACAGATGTATCCCATGGTAGTTCAGTGTCCAAGTGGGTTCCATAGTAATGGGAACAGGGACTGTCTCTGACATGATCTGATTTGCCTGCTCTTTGATCACCTTCCCCTGAGGGGAGTGCAGCCTTACCAGGCCACAGAGGAAGACAATGCAGCCACTCCTGATGAGATCTGATAGACAAGGATCAGAAAGAAGGAGAGGAGGACCTCCCCATCAGTGGACTTGGGGAGGGGCATGCGTGCAGAAGGGGAAAGAAGGGAAGGATTGGGAGGGGAGGAGGGAGGGAACTACAGGGGAGATACAAAGTGAATAGAATGTAATTAATAAAAAAATTTTAAAAAAATTAAGCTTGGTTTTGTGATAATTGGATATTCATAGGCAAATATTGGGAATCACACAGAGCTAGCTTAGTATACCTTTGACCTAGTTGATTCCAATAGCAACATCTGCTTACACTAGTAGTGCATTATCACAACCAGGATATTGACATTGCTGTAACGAAGATAGAAAACAGCTACATCCCAAGGATGCATCCTGTTATCCTTTGGGAGCCACTACATCTCAGTCCCTGACCATCCCAGACCACTAGCCACTGGGAACCACTCATCTGTTCTCCGTTTCTGTAATTTTGTCATTTCAAGAGTGTTCCATAAGCTAACCATGATGAGACATACCTCACAGCCCTTGGGAGATAGAGCCAAGTAGATCAAGAGTTCTAGACTATCCTCCACACATAGTTTGCAGCCAACCTGGGCTATGGACTCTGTCTTTTAAAAATGTTATTTAAGGGAAATTATATACTGTGTAACTTTTTTTGGACTATTTTGCACCTTCTGTAATTACCTTGGAATTCAACTAAGTTGTTGCACTAATTAGTAGCCCTTTATATTTTATAGATGTGACACCTGTTCTTCAAACTAGATTCTAAGGATATGTGATTGGTTTACAGTTTGGAGCTATTATGAAGAAAGCTACTAGGAACATCCATCCACAAGTTTTTCTGTGATCATGAGTTTTAATTTTTCTGAGTTAAATGTCCAGGAGTACAAATTCCAAGTCATACTTTGGTGTGTGTGTGCCTGCATACGTGTGTGTTGTTTTATGTTTTCAGAACTTCAAAGTTGTCTTCTGAGAGGCTATCCCTCTTTACAGTTCCACTTACACTCTGTGCATAATCTAGTTTTTCACATCCTCAAC